AGATACTTGCCTGCTCTGTAGAAGCTGAACTCAGCAGACCACAACTTAAGCATCTTTTCATTCTTTTTTTGTACAAGTTTTCTGTATGCAAGAACAATGCATATATCTTCAGATTGGTACATATGAGTCTCTTCAACCATTTCAATAAAAAATGACAAGATCTATTTAACATTATTAGAATCTTGCAATTTGGAAGCCAGTTTCTTGGCATACATGCTTTTCTAAAAAATGCTGTATCTACACAAATAAAACCAGGGGGGAACTTTTACAGTGACAAGTGCTAGAAAAGGTTTTCTTAAGGCAGTTAGCACGGGCCTAATCTTACAAGGCATTTCTGTACCTTTTCTGGAGCTGAAATGTTCTCGATTCAGTTTATTGAAGGCTGAGTATTTTATGTACTATCCAGTACTAGCTTGTGTAAACAGGTTTGTCACTACCTTAAAACATGGTGACAAACAAGACTGCATGCTGCTGCATTTACTTATTAGGCATATGGACCACATTGAACCTCTCGTGCAAGAAAAGAAAATGAAGACTGTATTGGAGTCTGTAGATGTGTATATGTACTGTTTCTAAAGTATGGTATGCAATAGACTATTACATGTTTTCCTCCTCCTACAATTCCTTTTGTAGAGGGAATTATTTTCCAGACTTGTTTATACATGATTTGCATTGGTACTCTTGATTTTACTCACTTGATTCAGGAAACTGTAAAGCATTTACTTTAAGTGATGTAAGTTATTTATTTATTGTAAATATTTTAGCAGTGTCTTTTAATAATTGATAATGGTTATGTTAAGTGGCGGATGGTGAGATTGATTTGCTTAATTTTGTCAAATTTGACAAACCAAATTTTGAGTTATATATTCAATAACAACTTTTGTGGCCCTTTTTTTTTCCCAGTTTCTTAAAAGTATGAATTTCTTTGATATTTAACAATGTAGCTGCAGACAGAGAATGAGATGTATTTGAATTTATTTTATTAAAAATTTTAAACTAATGTCTTTGTGTGATTTGTACGTGTTGCAGCCAGAAAGAATGCATGTTTCTGGAATTATCTGTATGTTTGCCCTTGTAGGTAAATCTGCGTAACATTGTCATTCTTAATTAAGAGACAACAAATACGATTTTTCACCTGATCTTTAGTTTCACTTAAAGGAAAACTAACCAATATCACAGTGAATTTTTATCTTTTTAAAGTCCTTGCAATAGAGCTAAAGCCACTGTATTAAAAAAAGAGATGTGCCATTTTTCTCTTGCATTGTTTTACTCTGTGAGTAAATAAGCATCTTCTCAGGTGCCAGTTCTTTGCCATGGTAATACTGTTAAGGATGTTTAAATTTAGTTTCACATCTTAATAATTCTAAAAGTGATACATTTGAGGAACTCAAATAGGTTTGAGCTGTGTCATGAAAAGTTAAACAGTTCTTATGCAGAATAAAGCAGAATTCAGCATATTCACTCTTGAGAGAAAGAGAGAAGTAAAAAGTGTCCCATAAATAATTGAGTAGGATATTGAATGTGAAAAATAGACCTACTGGATGAAACTGTGCTGTACTTTCAGGATTAGTCTTTCAAAATAATTTTTAAAATTTATGAATAATTTTAAATTTGGAAGTATTTTAATACTTTTGAGCAAGGTCAGTGAAAGAAAAATACTTTTGTCCAGGGACTAGATGGGAAGAGGCTGGAGTGTCTAATTTTTTTTTAGTAGCTATTTCTAACTCTTTCTGGAAAGCTTATTCAGGTATTTCTTATTGAGTTAGAACATAGAATTTATTTAGAATATCTGACTACCACAATGGAAACATGGGACTTAACTGTAAATCCTCTTCCTTTCTCTAGTGACAGCCCTATGAAAACTGGGTTTATTTTCATTTTGAACTACTGAGGGATTTATTCCCTTGTTTTTTTCTTGTCTGTCTCTTCAGTACTTTCAGTGCACTGAACAAGCAACATCTTATTTTAGCCAGTAAAAAGTACAGGCTCCAGCCAAGCTCATTTCTATGCCTTAGTCACATACTTTCTAATTGTTTTTTTCTGTTTACTTTTTCAGCAAATGGAAGGGGCCTGAATATCTGTGTTTGTCTTTATTTCCTAAAAATTTGTATCATCATAATCTCATAACTAATAGTTCTATCCAGTGAAGTAATTATTTTTGTGAAGAACTGGTTATGTAGCCTTGGATAATACTTTTAAACTCTGTTAAACCCACCTATTTCCAATAGTCTTTGACATAAAAGTAGAAAAGAAAGCCTCACCATTTTAGGACTCCTTCAGGTGAGATGGTCTCATACAGGCTTATCCATGATATGTCTTGAAAATCTCAGTCTTGGGGGGGTTGTTTCCAGTGATTAAACATTGTGTCTTTAAAATAAGCCCCAATACTTCACATTCTTACAATTGAAAATTTTGCCTGCTGTAACCAAGGCATTTATGTATGACCAATATTGCAGTTTGCAGTCATTATACAGAAAAGTTTAATGTATTTGAACCATTTTTTACACTGATCAATTCCAATGTCTTTATTTGTTTCATTACTAATATTCTCCGGATGTTTTTTGTTGCTCATTTAAATGAGCTGAGACCTCAGGGTGGACAAATTCTATTGAAACTCTTCAAATTCTTCCCTTCTTTCCCTGAAAAAAGTGTGCAAGGCACTCGTAAGCCTTTTATGTTTGCAGCTCAAAACAACCATATTTGTTCAATTCAAACAGGTATAAAAGAAAAGATCTGTGCTTCGTCCTTAACTATGTTTTTATTCTGTGTAATTAGTGTGAGTGAGTCTGTTCAGCTCAGAGATCTCTGCTTCAGTGACGTGAATGACAGGCTGCCCCCTAAGCATCCTCAGAGTCGATCCCAGGATGCTTTCAGGCTGGTCTGAGTTACGTTTCCTGTACACTGCTCTGCTTTCCACTCCCGTTGGCAGGATCTGACTTGTTCTCTTACGGCAGTGCTAGCATGGTTACATAGTAAATCAGATCAGGAAGCGACGGCCTTGCAGCTAACTTACACTGTTTCATTCTGCTATTTACCTGCACCTTTGGGTGCTGTTTGACATTTCGCCTCATCCAGGGTAGAGGGACTAGATACTATGGTGCTTCCACTGATCTGATGAAAGGTTAACCCACCAAAAGAATAGATTTTATTGGTGTCACCTTACTGAACCAGCTCATGCTGTGGCTGCACACTTGCTAGATCCGATGCAAGGTAAATTTAATCTCAGATTTAGCTTCAGGAGTAAACTTGCTACCTGGGGTGGCAGCAGGCAAGTATATATTTCTGAGTCAGTTGCTGGGGAAGACACAGCGGTAGGTTCCCCTCATAGATTTCCCTGACTAAATCTGTAGCCTAAAAAATGAGGGCATATAAAACATGTTAACTGTTTGTAAGCATAGATAGCTAACTCCCTGTTTGCCACGGGATTGGGAGGAACAAATTTCATTAGCTTGTGATAACAAATTTTTGACAATAAATTCCTGAATTTACACAGTTCAAACTTGTGTATCTTGATGTATATTAAATTTGTAAGAACATTTTTCTCAATCACTGATGCCAGAAAGAATTAAAAGAGCTATAGTCTGAGCACTTTAGTGCACCTTTTGGTACTAAAATAAGGTTTGGTGTTTTTCTAGATTTCACAGACCCTCTGTAGAGATTCCCCAGACTGCTTAGATTTTTGCTAACTTCAAAAAAATATTTAAAGCATATTTTTATACTTTTATAACCATATTCTGTTAAGATATTTCTTTTTTAGTGTATGAGAGATGTATAGGCAACATGAAAGACACTACAGAACACAAGGTTATCAAGCGTACAAAGTAAAAGTATTTATGTAATCTCTTTTAATACCATACCAAATTATCTGACTGTGCATTTGATAGTATCTCAACACATAACTGTTAAATTACAAGTAAGCTTATATTAGAGGTTTTACAATGGAAAGTGACATTAATGTAGTTTACTGCATGCATTTCAGGACTATCCCAAAGGAAAGTAAAGGGGCTAATTTAAGTATGTTCTCGCCTTTTAAAATTCAAGGTTTGATCCTTCTGTTGGGATGTCTAACCATTGGCCAAAACTGTCTTCTTTGCAGGACTAGAGCCTCATACTGTTTCCCAATGTTTGGCTACATTAAAGAGACACAAGACAAAACTCTTAATACATCATTTTCGTGACATTTAAACTACTTAACAGTCCGACTGATGTATTAAGAATAGATTTAGTACCTGTGTCCTTCGGTCTTTGCTAGAAGTGATGGTCTCAGATCCAGAATGCTTTGCTGAAGTAGTGTTTTTGTGGCCAAAAAAAAAGCAAAGAAAGGAAATCTGTGCATCTGAAACTTCTGTATCACCTCAGAAAGACTCTCTCAGTGAACAGCATCGAATATAACAACGAGTTCTTATTGGAGAAAAGTTTGACTCAGGCTGAGATTCACCCATAAGCAGTTGGGAGCAAAAGGCACATCTAATTTTACCTCATACTACTGCGCTGGTATCAGAAGAGGGGCCACGGTTGTAACAGCACTTGACGCTGTGGAAATAAACGACAGGTAGGGCTGAGAACTACGCTCTCTAGCACAGACGTAACCGCCACAGGCTCCGGGGGACCGTTAGGCTCCCTCACGGCGCGGGCCCCGCCCCCACGTCAGCGGCTGGAGGAGCCCCGCG